GAGAAACAGGCAGATAGCAAAGGGAAAGGAAAGGCCAAGGACGCTACGAAAAAGGCCGACCAGCAAAAAGCCGGCGCAGATATTGGAAAGATTGTGAACATGATGAGTACAGATGCTGGCCGAATTTCCAATACCGCTTCTGCTTTGACTATGCTTTATGTGAGCACTACCCTTCATTAGATGAATGCGTCACGGTACTGACTCGCCTAATTTGTAGGGTGCACCGCTCGAGCTGATTATTGGAGCTATTTTCCTTTACCAGTACGTATCCTTTACCCAGTTCCCCAACAGATGGCAACCATCATCTGTGATATTCAATCCATCTTGATACTTATGCACTCATACCCAGGCTACTAGGGATATCTGGTTTTGCCGGATTTACGGTCTTGATTTTGGGCTCGCCATTGAATGGATATTTGATGACCAGAGGGAGAGATATCAACAAAGCTACAATGGAGGCCCGCGATAAGCGAATGAAAGTCTTGACCGAGCTCATATCCGAAGCTAAATTTATCAAGTTTGGTGCTAGTGAAGATAGTGAGCAGACATCTAACCCTTTGATCTCATCTAGACATAGATTTAACATGCTTCTTCAGAATGGGTTCAGAAATGTATGGATGCCCGAGCCAAAGAACTTAAACTCTTGATCAAACGTAGGCACTTGGTTTCTATTGGACACCACAATACTTACATTAATGACTTTCTATAGAACAAATCAACTCGTTCTTCTTCAGTCTGGTTTGGTCTGTCTCCCCGGTGCTAGTCTCCGTGATTTCCTTCATGGCCTTCGTGTACATGGGTAATCAGTTGACCGTATCTGTGGCGTTCACGGCTATTCAGATCTTCTCCATGATAAAGAGGTATGTTGCTCATTTGAAATCTAGGTTATTAGTTGCTAATCCGTTAATCTGAATAGCCCGATGAACATTATCTCTGCTTTTATTGCCCTTCTCTTGGGCACTCAAGTTGCATTGGATCGCATCAATAGCTATTTGGATGAAGAGGAAGTTCCTACTTTTGTTTCCAGTCTCTTAAAGGAGGAGGAAGCCAGAGAAAACAATCCGGACAGGTCAACTGTCCCTACCACTGCACCTACAGAGCTCGATACTCGTCTCGGGATCCGAAATGGGCACTTTAGGTGGAACCAGCCAGCGGAAGGTCCCGAAGAAAAGCCAAAGAAGGGTGGAAGTCGCTGGAAGTTCTGGCAGTGGAGAATGAAGTCCAAGAATAACGACAAGCTTCCGACACATAAAGCTCCTGGCAATACAAATGGTACTCAAAATGGACAAGAAGGCAATACAACGCAGCCAAGCATCCTCGCTGAAGCCCAGAGGTTTGAATTGATGGATATAAATGTCATTTTCCCGACTGGAAAACTGACCGTTGTAACTGGTCCAACTGGTAAGTGATCCATGACGGTTTATTGTGTAGACCTAATCGTATCTTCTTCGCAGCATCTGGAAAATCTGCCCTACTACTGGCCTTACTAGGAGAAATGACTGCAGTAGAAGATGGTTCCGTCAAACCCGAGATTTTCTTGCCCAAGAACCCAACCCAACTCGAGGAGGAAAGTGGGTTGCGTAATAGCATCGCATACTGCTCTCAGAGCCCTTGGTTGGAGCACCTCACAATTCAGGACAATATTTTGTTTGGATCTCCCATGGATCAAGAACGATACAACCAAGTCTTAGAATGCTGTGCTCTGAAACCCGATCTGAAGATTTTGGAAGACGGTGATCTTACAGAGATTGGAGCTCGCGGCGTCTCACTTTCGGGCGGTCAAAAAGCGAGGTGGGTTAATATGCTTGCAAACTATGACTCATCCTGATGCCAACTCGTTAACTAGGGTCGCGCTTGCACGTGCAGCCTATTCACGAAGCAAGCATGTCCTTCTTGACGATCCTTTGAGTGCTGTAGTAAGTGCCCTTCAATTTTGTATTCTCTTCCCGTCTCATTCGTACATAGGACGCACATACTGCCCGACATCTTGTGGATAAACTGCTTCAAGGTCCCCTTATGGCGAACAGAACAGTTGTAAGCTATTACTTCATACCTCATATAGACCTTCCTCACTCGGATATTTAGATACTTGTTACTCACCACG